CCTTCTATTCTGCTTATTTACAATTGCTATGTAATACCATTCACACATACTGAGTAACATCAGTTACTCTGTTAATGGCTCTTAAACCTTCATTTCCAAATCAGCTCTATCATCTACGCTCTAGAACTTTATAAGCAATGCTTATTGGTCATTTTCATGTATAGATATTATAAGCATCTCAAACTCTAGTTCAAATCTGATATCATCAAATGTACTTCTCTCTCAAGGTTCAAATATTCAACTGCTCATGCTTAACATGATCTGATTCCTCCTTTCTCTCACCATCACATTCACCAAATGCTATAGATAACATCTTTTAAATATCTATCATTTTTATATGACAAACGTGACTTTAATGAAAAACATTAATAAAAAATATAAAAGCCACACATTACATCTTTTAGCTAGACTGTTTCCAAAAATACCTCTGGCCTGTACTCCAGTTCTGTATGCATAAATAAATAAGTCTTTTTTTTAAAAAATGTAGCCTAATAGTCTTAATATTTATTGAAAGCCAGACTTCAGAACTAAATGAAATGGTGATTGAAATGCTAATATAACTAAGGTGTATTTTTTATGAATAACCAGAACCTTCTAAATTCTGAAACTGAATTTTTTAAAAAAGATTTATTTATTTATGCAAACAAGAACTGAGGTGTAGGCCATAGGTGTGGGGGTGGTGAAACAATTCAGAGTCAGAGTGGGAAGCAGATCAGGCAGAGCTACTTAAATACAGTTAGGGGAGCAGTGGGTGAAACAGGAGAAGTCTGCTATGCCATGTGGGTCACCCCCCTGTCTGGGGATGGAATTCAAGTTTTAGTGGGTGGTGATAGCTTGAAAGCACTGTTTCTTTAACTCCTGTGCTACCAGAGAGGCCCAACTGAATTACTTTAAAGGAATACAAAAATCTACATCCTTCAATGTAAAGTCATCCATCAATCTTTCTTTTGCAATGTAGGGCAGCTACAAATCTCCAAGTTACTGCATAATTTTTATCTCCTATGCCGGAAGTCAAATATTTCCTTTTATTGCGAGTGGCATTTTTTATTTAACTTGCCTTTTTAAGCTCTGTAATCATCTGGACTTTGCAATCAAAGATCAAAATTAACCACCATCTAGTTGTGTGCTACAGAGTTATTGGAACAGGGCTGGCAAATTTGTTCTGCAAAGAGTGAGATGACAAATATCTTAGACTTTAAGGGCCATATGGCCTCTGATGCAACTACTCAATTCTGCCATTGAGTCACTAAAGCAGCCATAGAAAATACATTAACAGTGTGCATGTGTTCCAATAAAACTGTATTTACAAAAACATGTGTCAGGTAGGAGTTGGTCCAAGGGCCATAATGTGCTAAATCCAGTATCAGACATTACATAAGAGAATAAATAAACCAATTTATTAATAGAAATAAATAGACCTATTCCTCTCTTTCCCAATGATAATATTCTTATCATGAAATTAACTTACTTTCAAAAATATCATAAAATACAATTAACTAGCTTTTCAGTTTTTTGTAATTTGGATAATACTAGACCCTATTGCCTTCAATAAGGGATAAGACCCAACTATGAGAACAGGTTCAGGATTGAGATTTGTACTATATGTATGAAATTACCTTACTTTCTAAAATATCATAAAATGCAATTAACTAGGGCCCTCCTTGGTGGCGCAGCGGGTTAAAGCACAGTACTAAGAAGCTAAAGCCACTTCAGCATAAGTTCGATCCCCGCCCCGGAGATGACCCAAATGGCACGGCAGACCTCCTCTGACCCTCCCGCTGCTGCTCCCCTCAGCAGTGTACTCCCTCAGTCTGCCTGCTCTGCTCCCCACTCTGTCTCTAGTGAAGCCTCTCACTGTCCCTGCACATCTGACCTATATCCCAGTTCTGTATGCATAAATAAATAAATCTTTAAAAAAAATACCATTAACTAGCTTTTCATTATTTTGTAATTGGATAATACTAGACCCCACTGCTTTCAATGAGGGATAAGAGAACAGGTTCAGGATTGAGATTTGTACTGTATGTATATTTTACAGAAAGTCTGAGCCAAAAAATTAAAACAAAATCTTTAGGTTCTGATTGGTAACCTGCAACCTTAGCAGAGGCAAAGTTAAACCACGGTACTGGAATACATCTACAACAGCTACAAAAAAAAACAACTCTCCCTGAAGATGGGCTTCCAATTAAAAGTTATAAATCATAGAAAAAGTGAAAGATAGTGAACAGACAGAAAAAAAAAACACAAGATCCACATTTTAAGAGTTGCAACTAATTTGAAAAGTACAAAACAGGGGAAAATGCAGTCAAAATTTAATCATTTCTAAATGCAAACGTATTAGAAAATCTGTAAGAAGTAATAATTTTCTAGTAAAATATAACTGACCAAAATTGAGTTCAGAAGAAATAAAAATCAATAACCCTAGAAAGAATAGGAAAGTTTTCAAAGGACTCTGCCAAGCATTTTACAGGGTAATTCTATCAAATGTTTATGGAGTATGTTATTTCAATACCATCTCAACTGTTACAAAGATAAAAAGTTCCAAATTATGTTTATGAAGTAAATATATCTATCAAAACCTAACAAAAGTATGAAAGACCATTCTCACTAATATAAAGGTAAAAACACCCCAGCATAAAGAAACTGGCAGCACATTAAAGAAAAAAAAACATGCTGGGACTGTAAGGACGGCTCACAATTAGAATATCTCCTAAAATAATTCACTTTACTAAGAGATAAAATAAGAAAATATTTTTATCACATATGTATTGGTCAGGGTTCTCCAGACAAACAGACTCATGGACTATATATAGAAAGAAAGAGATTGTGAAGAATTGGCTTATGCAATTTTGGAAAATGAGAAGTCCAGACCTGCAATCAGCAAGCTGGAGGCCCAGAATAGCCAATGATGTAGTTCCAGTCCAAATACAAAGGCCTAAGAACCAGAAGAGCCCAATGATATACGTTCTAGTCCCAAAGCAGGCTAGCTCAGGCCCAAGAAGAATCATTATTTCCACTCAGTTCCAAAGGCAGAAAATGATCAATGTTTCAGCTTAAGCAGTTAAGTAGGAATTTAATCATAAGCAAGTCAGCCTTTTCTATTCAGGTTTTCAACTGACTTGATAAGGGCAACCCACATTAGTACACTGCTTTCTTCAGTGTACTGATTCAAATATTAATCTTATCCAAAAATACTCGCTCACAGACATAATAAATAAATCTGAGAATAAATCTTTGTTTTTTCAAAAGATTTATTTATTTACACACATATAAGAACAGGGTTACAGGCTGGAAGTGCAGCAGATGAGAGGATTCACCAGAGACAAAGTGAGAAACAGAACAGGCAGAATGACTGAAAGACACTGCTGAGGGGAGCAGTGGGTAGGACAGGACAGGTCTGCCATGCTATGTGGGTCATCTCCATGGCCAAGGATTGAACTCATGCTGCACAGGCTGTGGATAGTTTCAAAGTGTTATCCTTTAAGCCCAATGCCACCAGGGAGGGCCCAGTTTGGTAATTTCTTATAAGACCAAATATATTCAATATATTTGAAGAATATATACAGGGCAGGAAGGGAAGGGAACCAGTAAACCCCCAATCCTGCCTGCTCTAAATAAGTTCTACCATCCGCTGCATCAAGACAAAACATGAAAGACTTTAATTTAAAGGAATTTTAATACAGTGAGTATACAATACGAAAGACAAAGAATATAGCTTCTAAATCAAACACCTGAAGTTACCCTTCCCCTTGTGGGCAAAAGTCAACTCAAAAGGGATTGGTCCAAAGCAAGGTCTGAAAGCCTGACACAAGACTAAAAGCACCTCTGGCCGGGGCTCATAGAAAAGGGTCAGAAATAGCCAGACAAGAATGGGAGGAAAAGAGAAAAATCAAAATCAATATAAACACTGCCATAGTCAACCTCCCTATGGGTCTCTCACCCACATCTCTTTGAACCAGTCCTGGACCAAGAAATAAACACTGTTTCTTCACATGTCTCCCTTTGCTCTATGTGGCTTCCTCAGGCCTCCTTCTGGCTCTCCATCTTGACTTACTTCCTCCTCAGATTCCTTCTCTTTTTTTCCTTTTCTCTGCTCAGCTCCACCCTCCTTCTGGGTGGGGCAGGGAATCTGGAACTTCACTTTTTCCTGGGAACACTCAGTTACATTACTATGCAATACTCCTTAGTATTTACCCAAATGAATTAAAAACTTACATCCTCACAATAACCTATACACAGATGTTCACAGCAACTTTTTTCAAAATTATCAAAACTTGTAAGCAACCAAGATATTATTCAGTAGATGAGTAGGTAAATAACTGCGATACATCCAAGCAGTGGAATATTGTTCAGCCATAAAGAGGAATAAGCTATCAAACCATGAGAAGATGTAGTAGAAACAACCCAAATTTCTACCAACAAATGAATAAATAAAGTATGAGATATATGTACAATTGTATAATTGTTCATACATGGAAAGAAATAAAATTCTGACAGATGCTACAACATAGATGAACCCTTGACACATTATACAATGTGAAATAAGTCAGATGCAAAAAAGTAAACATTGCATGATTCCACTAATATGAGGTACATAGAATAGGCAAATTCATGGAAACAGCAAGTAAAATTTAGGTTAAAAAAAGTAAATATAGGTGTATAGAAATTTGATGTAGGTACATAGGATCCAAAAGCATAAATACTAAATTACTAATATTGGTTATCATTGGAGATACACACACACACACATATGCACACACACAGGGTGAGTGGAAGAGCCTCATATTATTTAGATATTTTTACCATTGTATATTATTTATAATAATCAAAATTAATATATAAGCTTATAAGTTGAAAAGTAGTTTGAGGGGAAGGTTTAGGATAACTGCTCAAGATGGCCAGCATGCTGACTAGGCAAAGTCATTGTCCTAATTAAACACAACTATTATTCGCAGTGAAACATAGCAAAACAGTACATGCAAAGCCAAGGTGTCACTCACCTTAAACACATCAGAGTAAAACCCAGATCCTATTTTTTCACATGTGAAGTCATCTAATCGCGTCAGTCTGGAAAAGGCATTTATAAGAGCTCGATATGTGGGAACTCTTCCCCCTTGGGTGAGGTTACCATCTCCTCCACCACTTCCTTCCAGATCTTCATGACGCTCCACGCGTGGAGGAAATCCTGCAATTGAATTGCGTTTGCTCCGATCCATAGTCCCAATCACTTTTTCTTCTTCAAAGAAGAAACTCCACACATAATAAATTTTTGTTGAGTCTTTTCTTCTGGTTTGACACTAAACAAGAGATCAAAAAGATAGTTTTGTTAAAACCATTAATAAATACATACATGCAAGTCAAATAATCCAATCAAAAAATTAACAAAAGTGCTGACACTTCTCTTAAAAAGACAGACAGATGTGATAGTGAAAGCAAGGATAAATAGATGGGACTGCATCAAGTTAAAGAACTTCTGTACAGCAAAAGATACATTACAAAAGACAAACAGACATCCCACTGATTGGGAAAAAATTTTCTCATACAAAATTAGTGATAAAGGATTGATCACACAAAGATATACAAAGAACTGATGAAACTCAACAAAAATGAAGTAAACAACCCTATCAAAAAATGGCAAAAAAAAGAGTTAAAAAGATAATTCTCCAAGGAGGAAATGCAGATGGCCAACAAGCATATGAAAACATGTTCAACATCACTTGTAATAAGGGAGATGCAAATTAAAACCACAATGAGATATCACCTCACCCCAGTGAGAATGGCACACCTTAAAACAACTAGCAACAACAAATATTGACAAGGATGTGGAGAAAAAGGAACTCTCCTGCACTGCTGGTGGAAATGCAAACTAGTACAACCACTATGGAAAACTGGAGGTTCCTCAAATTGCTAAACATGGAGCTTCCATATGACCCAGCAATCCCACTCCTAGGTATCTACATAAAGATACAAAAGACATAAAACACTGATTCAAAAAGATCCTTGCACCCCCCATGTTTATTACTGCATTATTTACAATTGGAAAGACATGGAAACAGCCCAAATGACCAAAAGTGGATGACTGGATTAAAAAGATGTGGTACATATACACAATGGAATATTACTTGGCAAACAAAAAAAAAGAAAGAAACACATGTCTTTTGCAGCAACATAGATGGAGCTGGCAAAGATCATGCTTAGTGAGATAAGCCAGAAAGAAAAGGAAAAATACCGGATGGTTTCACTCATAGCAGGAGTATAACGGACAAGGTGAGAAAATAATAATAACAACAATGAACAGTTATGTACCAGAGACAATTTATGGGGTTGGAGTGAGGAATGGGATCAAAAACAGTGGGGGGAGGGAAACGCACTGGACTTTGGTGATGGCACAGAGGTGGTTTGGTGATGGGAAACCCAAGGGAATCCAACTGAGATGGAAAAATGCACAAAATGATGTAAAAAAAAAACTATTATATTATTAAAAAAAAAAAAAAAGACAAACAGATTTATGGTATCAAATAGAAAACCCAGAACTAAATCCATATATATATGGACAACTAATCTTTCACAGAGGAGCAAAGAATATGACTCCATGCACAAAATGATGTAAAAAAAAACCTATTATATTATTAAAAAAAAAAAAAAAGACAAACAGATGTGGGGCCCTTCAGGGTGGCACAATGGGTTAAAGTACAGCACTATAAAGCTATTGCAAGACATTGCAGCAGTTCAATCCCTGGCTAGGGAGGTGACCCATATAGTGTGGCAGATTTCTGACCCACCCGTTGCTCCCTCAGCAGTGTATTTCAGTGGATCTGCCTGTTCTGCTCCCCACTCTGTCCTGGTGAATCTTCTCACACACACACACGCTGCACCTCTGGCTTGTACCCTAGTTCTGTATGCATAAATAAACACATCTTACAAAAAAAAAGACAAACAGATGGGCCTCCCTAGTGGCAAAAGGGATTAAGTCTCAGTACTAGGAAGCTATCAGCAGCCACAAGCAGCATGAGTTTGATCTCTAAGCAGGGAGCTGACCCACATGACACAGCAAACGTCTTGTGTTTCCCGGACTACTCCCCTTAGAAGTAGATTTCATTGGATCTGCCTGTTCTGCTTCCCATTCTCTGGTGAATCCTCCCACTCCCAGCACCCCTGACTAAACCCTATTTCTATGCAAAAATAAAAACTCTTTTAAAGAAGATATACAGGGCCCTCCCTGGTGAGGCAGTAGGTTAAAGCACAACGCTAAGAAGCTAAAGCCACTTCCGCATGAGTTTGATCCCCGCCTGCCCCTGAGGTGACCACATGGCGCGGCAGACCTCTCCTGACCCGCCCGCTGCTCCCCTCAGCAGTGTATTTCGTAGATCTGCCTGTTCTGCTCCCCACTCTGTCTCTGGTGATGCCTCTCACCCTCCGCATCTCTGCCTGTACCCCAGTTCTGTATGAATAAATAAATAAGTTTTTAAAAAAAAGATATACAGATGGCCAACAAGCACATGAAATGCTCATGGACACTTACTATTCAGGGAAATGCTAATTAAAACCACAAGGAGACACTACCTTATACCCATGAAAACTTTAGTCCATATCAAAAAGACCAGAAACAGTAAGGATGTGGAGGAAAAAGGATGCCTGTACATTGTAAAGTGGTCTAACTCCGATGGGAACCATCTAATGTTTCTCAAAACATTACAAATACAACACCCATATGATCCAGATGTATCTATCCAAAGAACTTGAAAACTAATTTAAAAGGATGCATGCACTGTGTTCTGTGTTTATTGCAGCACTATTCACAATAGCCAAGCTATGGAAACAACCTAAGTGCACAATTGATGAGTGGATTAAGAAGATACAGTATATATACACAATGGAATACTATTCATCAACTTAAAAAAAATGAAATTTTGCCATTTGCAACAACATGGATGGAAGTAAAGGGGATTATACTAAGCAAAATAACTCAGAAGGAGAAAGACAAATACGGATGATTTCACTTACATAAACTATGAAGAAACAAAGCAAAGGAACAGACAAATTTAAACCAAAACAAACCCTACGAATCTGACTGCAGATTTGAGTCTAGCAGGGAAGAGGAGTGGAAGTGGGAAGTAAAAGGCAGAAGGGGACCTATGGACAACGATGAGCTCTGGTGGAAAGTTATCGGTGCTTTGGTGGTGGACATTTGAAGAGATATGAACCTATAACACTAAAACAATATACAATGTTACAAAGCATGCTACCTCAATAAATAATTTTAAGTAGAAAAAAACTCTATCAAAGAGAAGAAACTCTATCAAAGAGAAACTTTTTTTTTTACTCTTTATTAAACAGCACTGTCCAGTAGAAGTGTCTGTAAAAGGCTCCAACCATCTAATACATGATTGAGAATGAAAACACAAGCCCACTTGTTTCTTTTAGATCTCTCCTGGCCCTTCCTGGTAGTACAGTGGGTTAAAGCCTGGCACAGCAAAGCTGGCCTCAACCTCTTCAGTAATAGTTGGATCCCTGCCCCCAAGGTGACCCACATGGCACAGCAGACCTCTCCTGTCTCGCTCACTGCTCCCCTCAGCCGTGTACTTCACTGATCCTGTCTGTTCTACTCCCCACTCTGACTATGGTGAATCACTGCCCCTGCACCTCTGGCCTATACCCCAGTTCTTTTGGCATAAATAAATTTAAAAATCTTTAAAAAAAAAAAGAAGAAGAAGCTCTCACTCTACTTTTTTCCATGACAATAGTTGTAAAGGTCCTGGGTCCTATACAAAATAGACGGTGACTCTTCAGTTAGTGAAGATGCCTTTGGACATGTGGTACATACCTAAAACCCAGACTAATGCTACCATGGGGAGTAAGTGGCAGGGCTCCCAAAGCCATTTTTAAAATAACACCTTGCCTCTCAGCCCATACCCAGAATCCAACAACATTCTGCCTAATATGGTCCACCATTCTTTTCCTGTTACTTTGGAATTGGAGTTAAGGTATTCCAGCTTCTGTCTGGCCGCTTTCTAAAATGGAAACCATATGAATTCAGGAGTTGTTGGCCATAACCATTTTCTACAAAAAGGGCCAGGAGATTAAAGTCAATTTACAAAGACAAAAACACAGACCTTGATTTTCCTAACGTGCTCTAATCCCTGATTACTGAAGCCTAACTACTAGTGGTTCCAAAGGATATCCCTGTATCTTTAAAATAAAGTAATTTTGTTTAACCTGGTTTCTCCAGAATTTTCACAAAAGGAAGAATAATTTCAGTTTTCAAAGAATAAAACGTAAGTATATCAACTGAACCTCTGCCAGAAAGCAGTACAAGATTGACAAGTCAAAAATTTAGGATCATAAAACCTAAAACTGTATTGTATAGTTAGTACAGACCATCATGTTCAGCCATTCATTACATATGTGAGAAAACATAAGGTCCATAATGTAGAAATTATTTGCCCCATAGCATAAGCTATTTACTAGTAAAACTAGAGTAGGAACCAAAGAATCAAGGGTACTGCATTTCTTAAAGTGTGTCTGAAACCATTTGCTTCAAAACTATCCAGACAGCTTGTTTGAAACCCACATTCCTGAGTTTCAACTTCAACCTACTAAGCCAAAACATTTTGGAGTGAGACCTGTAAATTTGTCCAAGCTCCCTAGTGAGGCTTATGTACACTAGGAATTGAAGATCCTCTGAGCCAGCAAGGTTCATATAGTAATAACTTTTTTTAAAAAAAGGGGAAATTTTTAAAAGTTTCTCATTTAATCCTCAAAAGACACCACCCAAGATAAATGTGATCCCCATTTTATATTTTTAAAAAAGGAAGAAAGAAATGTAGACTCAAGAGGTTAAGTAACTTGCCTAAGGTTATAGAGCCGGTAGAACCAGAATTGGAAACAATACTTTTTCAGCATCAAAACTAAAGTCTTTTCCATTTCATTATTACTTGATTTTTCCACTATAGTACAAAGAGTCAAGCTAGTTACCTGGGTAGAAAAGAGAATTGAGACTTGACAGGTTAACTGAGCGTAATATGGACAAAGGTAGAAAATAAGGAAAAAGAAACTTCAGAAAATTAAATACAGAATATTAAAACTAAAACTATATAAACCACAGTTGCTTTGCTAAATTAACTAAACAGTGTGACAAGGCTTGCTATTTATTGACTTTGTATTTTCTCAAACATTTCATTTTGAATGAAATACGTTGTTAACCTCCACAATGCCCTGGGGATTTTCTGAGGCCAGCAGCTCTTAGTCTCAGAATTGCTCATAGCATTGCAACAGGCAAAGTTTTACATTCTCAGGT